CAATATCTCCAGGATCTTTAGGTTATCTTCCAGCACGACAGCAAAGTTTTGAAGTTCAAATACACATCCAACCTCTTCCCACCCTCCCTTTAAATTGCTTCTGCAGGACTTGAACTGACTGTAGGCAGATAAGACTCTACCTCAAGGATTCTCTAGGAGTTCAGGGACTTTTGAAGAGAATGTGAGAGAATCCATGGGGAGATCACTTTAAGGAAAACCAAATACAATGGTTTTTAGGTGGTGTATTTGGCTGTTCTTACATTGCTATAAAGAAATACCAGAGACTAGGTAATTTATAAGAAAAGAGACCATTGGCTCACAGTTCTCCAGGCTGTACAGGGCGCATAATGGCATCTGTTTCTGGGGAGGCCTCAAGAGGTTGACAATCATGGCAGAAGGTGAAGTGAGAGCAGGCCCATCACGTGGCAAAAGCAAGAGCAAGGGTGAGCGAGCAGGTCCTGCACACTTTTTTTTGAGACATAGTCTTGCTCTGTCACCCAGGCTGGAGTGCAGTGGCATGATCTCAGCTCACTGCGACCTACGCCTCCCAGGTTCAAGCAATTCTTTGCCTCCTGGTTTCAAGCAATTCTCTTTCTCAGCCTTCCTAGTAGCTGGGATTACAGGCATGCACCACCATGCCTGGCTAATTTTTTGTATTTTTAGTAGAGACAGGGTTTCATTGTGTTAGCCAGGATGGTCTCGATCTCCTGACCTCGTGGTCCGCCCACCTTGGGCTCCCAAAGTGCTGGGATTACAGGCATGAACCACCGTGTCAAGGCAGTTCCACTCACAGCCAGACCCCATGAGAACTCACTCACTATAGTGAGAAGAGCACCATGTGGATAGCAAAGTTTACTTATGAGATATCCACCACCATGATCCAGTCACTTCTCTCAAGGCCCCACCTCCAATACTAGGGATTACATTTCAACATGAGATTTGGGTGGACAAATCTCCAAACTATACCATCTGAGGACCACATATGATAATGTCTCATTAGCAAAATGTTAATGTTCTCTTGACACTCAGGGTGCCCAGGGCTTCTTTCTTATTATCACCACCTCCATCATCACCCTGTAGCCGTATATTTGGGTAGTACTTTATTTTTTAACTTTCAAAAGTGCTATCACCCCTCTTGTTCACATAACCTCACAACCACTCATTAGCTCTGACATTTACTGGAGTGCATTCATTACTTAAATGAAATTAAATCTAAAATCAGCACATCAGGCAAAAATTGTGTAGAATCAAAATTGCCCTTCAAAAATCTCTTTAAAAGCTCATAAAATGTAGCACAAATGATTTTGTGTTTACTTCGTCTTCCTTATGAGGGCAATCTAACCATCTTCCTATTGCATTGAAAAAGATTACTTTTTTTTTTTTTTTTTTTTTTGAGCATCAGAACTACTAGTTTATATGCCTTTGAGGCCTTGTGGTAGGAAAACTATCACTGCTGTTGTGGTTATTTGCTGAATCTGTATAGTTGAATTTGTACAGTCAAATGCTCATATGACACAATGCTACTGAAGTCTGTCCATGTAAAGATCAGAAGGGATACAGGCGAAGTGAAATTAAACAATTTGGCTAACGTCACAGCTAGATACTGAAAGAAATGAGTTTGATACCCCAGTCCTAAATTAGAGTTTCCTCCTATTAGATGGAAATTGGCTAATTACTTCTATCTCTGGGAACTGATTGATTGCTAATGTTTGCCTGGTTTCCTGAATTGATTAGGGCTCTGAAACTGAGTCTGGGCTCAGCAAAGAAAAGCACAAAAGTCGTCAGCCTGGATGGGCACGGTGACTCATACCTGCATTTTGGAAGGCCTAGGTGGGAGGATCACTTAAGGTCAGGAATTTGAGACCAGACTGACCAATATGGTGAAACCCCATTTCTATTAAAAATACAAAAAATTTAGGTGGGCATGGTAGTGCACCCCTGTTATCCCAGTTAGTAGTGAGGCCGAGGCAGGAGAATTGCTTGAACCCAGAGGGTAGAGGTTGCAGTGAGCTGAGATCATGCGTGCCCCACTGCACTTCAGCCTGGGCGGCAGAGTGAGACTCCATATTAACAACAACATCAACAGCAAATCATCAGCCCACCATGGGGCAGAGGTGAACTGCTCATCTCAAATTTGCAATTTTCCCACTAGACCATACTACCCAATAACTTGAAATGGGAATATGAAGCAAAAACAGAGGGAAAATTAGAAATATTCTTCCTTTCTCAACCTATCTGTACAATCACATGAAAACTTTAAATTCAAAAACTAATCAAATCTTTCCAATATGGTTTCAGTTAAATGAGGAGGTATAAGAAACAGGAGAAAACATTAAGAGAAGAGATAATTGATTAACTTTTAAGTGTATCTTTCTGATGGACAAGTTCTTAGAGTATTCATTAACTAATGGAATTATGGCAGTATGTGATTGCTGTCTCTATAGAATAGGAGGTTAAAAAGTGCAAGGGCATAATTGCCCCTCATCTCTCAAAGAGCTGGGAAATGGCCCCGGCACATTCACCTATGCTGAGAAGGATCAAGGATCTTATTGATATTCATGGTTATATTCGTCTAAGCCTCAGTAGATGCTTCCACTTATGGACAGTCCTAGAGGATTAGGGGAAAAGAGAAGAAAAAACCTGACGCTACATTCGGGAAACAGCCATTTAGAGATGGTGTTGCACTGGGTTCATGATTCCAGGGGGATTCATCTTGACAAAATATTTTACCCAACCTCCTTGAAGACGGCTGGAAACCAAGTCCTCTTAGCCAAGCATTTATGCTGTCTGCCCCAAGCAGTGGTCCCTGATTAAGCATGATGACAGGACAGTACGAGAACCATCTTACACGCCTGCCTCTTAGAAGTATCTTTTTACAGAACAAGCAGGGTTGGGTTTCTTTCACTCTGACATAAAGGGTCACCTTCTAATTCGATGGGAAGGGGAGGCTTATCTGTATCTACTGCAGAATGCCCAAGAAAGCAGCCTGATTCCTGCTGTCACTAGACATTGTTTGTCTTCAATACCTCTTACTGCAAGAGTGGGCCACCCACCCTCCTTCAGGTTTTAGGAAAAAATTTATCTGTCCAGGGTCTTTGACGGTGGCAAATTTTTACTCAAGATTTGCGTGTTAACCATGGTGTCAAGGTACATTGAGGAGAATTTCTAATACTTCAGAATTGGAGACAACTTCATCTTGAATAATAGACATGAGCTCTTCTAACTGGTTCTTTGATTCTTCTGGCCATCTGGATTCTCTCCCTGCCATCTCCCCTCTTAGTGGTCACTGCCTCCCTTCATGGCCTCTTCCTGGCCTCCCCTTCCTTGCCTCAGACATGTCTAGCATAGCTCTTCTGGGCTGCTGATACTCTGGAGGGGTCCTCACCCCTAGACTTCTTGGTTGCCATCTGGAACTCCTAAATTTCTAAGTCCATTGTTTTATGATGCCTTAACTCTAATGTGGACCTATGGCAAGTTTTTGTTCATTTTGTTAATTAGTTAATTGTTTCAGAGAAAGAAAGCAAGAATTAAAATGTACTGAGTCTCTACTAAATGCTAGGTATGATACTGGGGACATTTAAATGGTTTTATCATTTGAGAAATAAACTACCTCTATTTCTCATGGTGTTTTGGCACGTGGGCACTGAATTCAGGCAGACCAGGTTCTAATCCCAGCCCCAATTCACTCATAAACTCTTAGGCTATTTAGGTTATTTAACATTTCAATTTGTTCATCTGTAAGGCAGGCATAACAATCCTTGAAACACAGGCTTCATGTGAAAATTAAATAACTCACTCTGTGAAAGAAATGCACATTGAAGCTTGATTAACCACATACCACTGCTACAATTACTAGTAATATTATTATGAAATTATTAACTCTTTCTGAACAGTTCAGTTGGAGAGACAAGATACATGCTTACTTCCATTTCCATGACATGATCACTCCCTGGGAGTTCAAAGCCAAAGTAGTCCAAAGATAATTCCCGCCAAAGCACCCTTGTAGCGTCAGAGGCCTTTGAACCAGAACTCCATCTTGAACAAGGGCTAGGTGAAATAAGGCTCAGACCTACTGGGCTATATAGTTAGGGCTATATAATTAGACATTCCCAGTTAAGCATTCTAAGTCACAGGATGAGATAAGAGGTGGGTACAAGATACAGGTCATAAAGACCTTGCTGATAAAGAAAAGAAACAGTAAAGAAACAGGCTAAAACCCACCCAAACCAAAATGGTGATGGGATCGTCCTCTGGTCATCCTCACTGCTACACTGCCATCAGCACCATGAGAGTTTACAAATGCATGACAACATCCAGCAACTACCCTATATGATCTAAAAACAGGAGGAACCCAAGCTCTGGAATTACCAGCGCCATTCTCAGGAAATTCATGAATAATGCACTCTTGTTTAGCATTTCATCAAGAAATAACCATTAAAAGGGGCAATCAGAGGTCCATGCTGCTGCTCTGATTAGGCACTGGCCATTCTTTATTTCTTTACTTTCTTAACAAACTTGCTTTCACTTTATTCTGTGGATTAGCCTCAAATTCTTTCTTGCACGAGATCCAAAAACCCTCTTTTGGGGTCTGGATTGGGACCCCTTTCTGATAACAATAGCATACTGTGTTTATAGAGTGCTGGGTTTACTGAGGACCCCTCAGGAAGGGGATCACTCCCATCATCAAAGGTCTCAAGGGTTATACACCAGCCTGTCTATTCTTGTTTTCAGAGACTGATAGTGATAGAAAATCTCTTTCCATATTTCACAGCTTCAGATATACTCAATTATATATTAGTGTTTTCTCATTACTAACATAGTGTATGAAAAGAATGGTGAACAGGAGAATTGCCTGAACCCAGGAGGCGGAGGTTGCGGTGAGCCAAGATCTCGCCATTGCACTCCAGCCTGGTTAACAAGAGTGAAACTCCGTCTCAAAACAAACAAACAACAGCAACAACAAAAAAAAAACAAATAAAAATACAACATGAATCTCTTACCTTGTGCCATGAATTCTCCTTGATGGCTGCTCTCTACCTGTCCAGCTTCTGTTGCACCCTGGCTGTGCTTGTTTTTCTCCAGCTAGGCTCTTACAGCAATAGAATAGAGTGCCATTTTACAAAAACAAAAAACAAACAAAACATCCAAACCAAGAGCTTTCCTCCCCCACTTAATTCTTTCTGTGCCAGCAATAGAATAGAACACTGTTTCATGTGAAACACACAAAAAATGAGGGCTTTCCTAAAGACTGGTAATAACTACTTATCATTTCATAATGGATACAAAGATTTCATTTATTATGTCAATAGAAACTATTAGCATATGTAGGAGTAAAATTAATCCTGAAAAATATGTGAGACCTATATGAAGGATAAACAAGAAATTTTAGTGAAAGTCTTAAACAGCAGGGATATGAGAGTCAATATTCATGGAACATGGGGAGTTTTTGATGACCTTAAAATAAATATAAGTTAATGCCTCACCTACCTATGTGGTTGGATACAAAGCTAAGCTGGCAACGACTGTCTAAAACTCACCATTGGTTCTCCCATCCCCTAACACCCCTCCTCCTAATTTCTTCATATTAATGATCCCAACATTCCCCATATCATTAAATTTTAACCTCATCTTTAATGCCCCCTTCTTCATACCATGAATCTGTTTCCATATATTATTGAACACATACACTATACCAGGAGCTACTTGATAAAAACTTACAAGGCTGACATTTCCACAGTGATGTACTATTCCCTAGTATATCAGAAGATACTCCTAAGTGTCCCTGCTTCCTCTCCCTGTGGTCACTAACCTAGTCTAGGCAGAATCATGGCAATCCTCTTCTTGCAGATCTTGTTTTACACCCTCAGTCTTCATTTTTATCTTAGAAAGTCATTGCAGTCATCTCCCAGTGCAGTTCTGAATATGCTACTCCCCCGATTACAAAGTCTCAATTGCTTTCCATTTTATGCCCTCGAAAGTCCCAAATTTAGAATTGTCATGAAAGCTTTCCACAGTGTACTTCTTTTTTTTACTGCATTTTAGGTTTTGGGGTACATGTGAAGAACATGCAAGATTGTTGCATAGGTACACACATGGCAGTGTGATTTGCTGCCTTCCTCCCCATCACCTATATCTGGCATTTCTCCCCATGCTATCTCTCCCCAACTCCCCACCCCCACTGTTCCTCCCCTATTTCCCACTGACAGACCCCAGTGTGTGCTTCTGCAATGCAAAAGAAACAATCATTAGCACTCTAATGATCAGCAACCAACAGAATGGGACAAAATTTTTGCAGTCTACCCATCTGACAAAGGGCTGATATCCAGAATCTACAAAGAACTAAAAGATTTACAAGGAGAAAACAAACAATCCCATCCAAAAGTAGGTGAAGGATATGCACAGTGTACTTCTTACAGTCTTATGGCCTTCTGTTGATTATTTTAAATTTTAATTTTATTGTGAAATACATACAACCTTCAAAAAGTATAGGAGGTTCACACAGTGCTAAGCCTAAACAAAATTAAACACTACTGTTGCTAAAAGGAACAGTTCTTCGCTGTATCTTTTGTTTCTTTTCATGCAAGGGGCACCCTGTTGGCATAATGCACCAATGCATCTTGGGAGGTGGAGTAATTTGCAGATGGAAACCTTCTGCCATGTGGAGCTCAGTTTCTCCGGAGAAGGGATCTGACTGCAGAAAACTCAAGTTTGTATCTGCAACTTCGTGCTAGGATTACCTGTGACAAGGTGGTTGAATTTGCCTAATCCTAAAATCCGTTTAGCAGATCCGAGCTACAGTGTTGAAGTTTGTCTTTGTTGATACTAAACAGGCACTTTGCCGTGTAAATGGAGTCATGACTATATAACACTTGAGTATGGCTTTTTTCATTCAACTTAATTCTTTTGATCAATGGTAGACAGAATAATGCTTCCCCACCTCAAAAGATTTCCACGTTTTTATTCCCTGAAACTGTGAGTATAGAAAATACAGCAAAAGAGGCATCATTGCTGTGATTAAGGACTTTGAGATGAGAAGAGCATCCTGGGCTATCCAAGTGGACTCAAAACAATCCCAAGGGCCCTTTTAAGAGGGAGATTAGAAGGTTAAAAGAAAAATAAGAGATGTGACAATGGAAGCAAGAGAGCAGAGTGATATAAGGAAAGGATCATGAGCCAGTGATTGCAGACAGCTTCTAGTAGACGAAAAGAGGGAAGGAAACAGCTTCTTCCCTGAAGCCTCTGGAAGGGAGTCAGCCTAGTCAACATACTGATTGCATACTTTCAACTTCCAGAACTGTCAGAGAAGAAATGTGTGCTGTTCTAAGCCACTGTATTGGTGGTCATTTATTATAGAAGCAATAGGAAGCTAATACAAAATCAATCTATTCTGTGCTTGTATCAATAGTTTGTCTCTAAATTGCTGAGTACTATTCCATAGCATGGAGGTACCACAGAGTTTGTTTAATTGTTCTCCTGTTGAAGGTATATTTGTGTCAATTCTAGTTTTGGTCTATTGCAAGTAAACCCGCTATGTACATTTTCATACGGGTTTTTGAATGAACATATATTTTCACTTTCCTGGCATTAGGGCTGTAGAGTATAATGGCTAAGTCATACGGTAAGCAGATGCTCAACTTTGTAAGGGACTTCCGTATTTCCCCCCTATTTTTTTTTTTTTTTTGAGATAACCAAATTGAAAGATACTGTAAGACCGGTACAAAAATATCTTTGACCATTTGAGCTCTAATACAAGTCTTGAATCCCCAAAGTTACATAAGCAGGAAGGAGGATCCAATTTCTATATAGACCCCAAGGATAATACCCGTCCTAACCCATTACGGATATTGTATAAAGAATGACGGACAAAAGGAATCTCTAGGGGTGCCAAGGACAAGATAGTTCCTTCTAAAGAGCAGAATTGAGATCTAACCAAGGAATGATTCCACTGTAAGGCAGAGGGAACTCATAGTACTCATCCAACAGGATTTGATCACTGTTTCGAACTTCCTGGTATGTGCTCCCATTTTCACTTTTGTGCATGGATATGTTTATTGAAGTTATTCTATCCATGATGATAGCGGAGGTAGGGGCAGGAGGGAGTATATGATTTTTCTTTTGATTCATAAATCACTGGATGATAAAAAGCCCCATTCAGACATAATACAGAGGAATGCATGTCACCTGGACCACTAACTTTGAACTGAATTTCCCGCAAGATAGGACTTTGGATATTTCTCGGGGCAAGATTGGATATGCTTTATGTATGATGTTTTAATGTACAGTTTCAGAGTTTAAAAATTTAATTTAATATGTTTTAATGGGTATTTGGTAACTACAAAATAAAGAGTCAGCAGCTGCTAAATGAATAGCAAACTCATTTTCTCTTCTCTCTGGTCTAAATTTCCAGTCTAAATTTCTCAACCTCTTTTAGGTAGCTGTGGCAGTTTTACCTGTTGAGAAATGCCTTTGCTCGTTGTGTTAAAATTCTGCTAACGTGGGATTTATCTGCTAACAGCAGTAGGCACTGCCCCTAGTGAATACACTTATTCCATAAATAATTCTAATATTTTATAAAAATTAAAGTTTGTATAGCTATTGTTCTTCAGGTTAAAGAAGTTTCTATTCTTGATTTTCTAAGAATTCATAATATAAATGCACATTGAGCTTTATCAAAAGGTTTTCCTTTCTATAGCAGTTATAGTGAAATCACGTTTTTTCTTTTTATCCAGTGATACAGTGAATTCCATATACAGATTTTCCATTGTTAAAGTACCCCCGTATTTCTTAACCCCTATTTGTTTTACATAGAATGCTGAATATGGTTTTGTGATTTTCATATCTATAGTCATAATTCATACTATACTATGATTTTACTTTACTATTCTCTGATGTTTGTGTGAATGCCATATTACCTCATAAAATGAGTTACCTTTCAAGGGAGTTAGTCTGCCACATATGTCAAGTCACATGTAGATTTATAGAGAAACTCATCCGTAAGTAACAGATTTTCATCCTGAATAGATGCCATTTATGAATTCCTTGCTCCCTTTTTCTTGGGCTCCCCCACAGACCCTTCTTAAGGAGTCCAAATAGATCTCTTAAAAGAGTGGCATGAAACTCTTGGCTTGGCTTATTTCTTGGATGAGGGATATAGAAGGAGATCTATTTGGACTCTTTCTCTGACTTATTGAGCTCACTTTGCTAAATTTTACACTCAGCTTTATGTGTTTATCTCTTTTTCGGCTTCAAATAAGAGATAGCCCTACATCTAGCCTCACCACCACAAAACTGACAACTTTGGAGTAAACGGGAGGGACTAACATTGCAATCAAACAACATTACTTGATGTTTGCCTACTCCTTGGCAAATCGCCACCTCTGTAGCCTTGCACATATTGTTGTGTCTACCTAGAACGGGCTTCTTTCTCATCCCTGCATTTCCAAATCCTGTCATGTTTCAAGACTTCATTCAAATGCTATGGCTTCCATGAAACCTTTCCTCATAACCCCTGCAACACTTGGAACTTTTCTTAGAGTGTCTTTTCTTTACTATTTAGTTAATTATTGCTGCAAAACATTACTCCAAACCTTACTAGTTTCAATGATAAAAACATTTGTCATCTCAGTTTCTATCAGTCAGGAATTCAGGAGTAGTTTAGGTCCTTCTGTCTCAGGGTCTCTCCTGGAGTTTCAGTCAAGAAGTAGGCTTGACTGGATCTGGAATGCTGGCTTCCACACTGGCTCCTGCATGGCTGGCAGGCTGATGCTGGCTACTGATGGCAGGCCTCAGTTTCTCTCTACACAACCCTTGGCTGCTTAAGTGTCTTCGCATGCAACTGGCTTCCTTCAGAGCAGGTGATTCAAGAAACAGCGAAGCAGAACCTAGAATATTGTTTATGACTAAATTTCAGAAGTCACTCCCTGTCATTTTTTTAAGTATCTTTTTGGTAACACAGGCAGCCACAATTCAGCACAGGAGGGGACTACGCAAAGGTATAAAAACCGGGAGGCAATCACTGAGGGTCATCTTGAAAGCTGAGTGCCACACTTACTGTTTCGCATTATGATTAGTTTTGCTTAATGTCATACCATTTTTAGAGGGACAATTCATTTTGGGGTTCCCTTTTCAT